TGGGCTGGTGGTGGTTAACGGGCAAATAATCAGGGGCGGGGAAGTCTCCTTAAAATATTCAACAAGCCCACTCCATGCATCAACTCCACTAGTTATCAAGCCCAAAATTCTTGTCGTCCTCCAAGTTCAATCTCTTCCCAAAGATCCCGCTCCGCTAGTCTCCTTAAAATCTGCAATTATGCTCACGAAACTAGAAAGTACCCGAAATGGTCATAAAATAACAAAAAGGAAAATATGCATGAAAATTAACTAAATTATGAATGAAATATACTAAAACAAACTATAAAAAAGTAAATAAAATGAAACTATCAGAAGACGAAAATGGAGGTAAGGTTTGATACCTTGTCTCCCTCTCACCGGAAATAAGTGTGTGTGTATATATATATATATATATATATATATATATATATATATATATATATATATATATATATCAATGTGTATGTCCGCTGAACTCATCGCCCCTTCTTTGTGGTTTTCCAGTGAACCAAATGAACGTCAAGAGGTAATCCTAACCACCGAGCACCAGCCTCGGAGAAGGAGCTCCGGTAGGCGACTTCTCTTTCTTTAACATATCTTCATTGGGTTTACATTAAAATCTTTTTTTCTTGGATTCAGGGGGTTTTTAAGCTTTGGGTTTGTAAACCCACTTCAAGAGGTGAATACGATGATCTAAGGGAAAAAGGTTGGAAATGTAGGAATAAGAAATTTGTTGTAAAGGGCACGAGTAGGGGTGTTCTTTGATTTGTTTAGTTCACTTTTTTTTTCTTGGGCTTAATTTTGGATTTTTTTCATCATTTTGGGGATGTCTGGAGAAGACGAAGTCCAGAAAAAGTTATGTGAGAGAGAGAGAGAGAGAGAGAGAGAAAGAAAAAGGGATACGGTGGAGAGGTATGACAAGTGGGATTTTGCCTTATTTTTTAATTATCAAAATCTTAAAATTAAAACATAAATGTAAAAAAAATAAGTAAACAAAATAAAAGGATATAATAGTCTTTTTAAATTTGATAGGGATCATAACCATAACTTTTTTTTATTTTAGACCAGTGATACAAGTTGAAAAGATTTTGGACTTCATCTACATTTTTTTATGGAAACCATAGAGACCAAATTTGCCATAGAGACCAAATTTGCAGTTTAGGGCCCGTTTATTTATGTCTGACTGGGACCGAGTCAGCGATTTGGGCTGACTCAGTCAGACAAAATGCGTTTGGTAAGTAGCTTTCTCAATCAGAACAGCTGGCGCATAAGATTCTCGGTCAGACCTTGAGACGTTGCTGACTCAACAAATTACCTTCATGCCCTCTTGTTTCTTTCTTCCCATCGTGACCTAATAGAGAGACAGCAAAGAAATTGGCCGCCATCGCACAAATCTCTCCATCGTTGCGGTCTCTCTCAGTCCGACTACCGACCAGAGACTTCCCTCCGTTCCAGCTCCGACGAGAAACACGGCAAAACAGGTTCGATCCTCGGTTTTTTCCTGTGAAAACAGAAAATTGTTTTTGGTCTAATGTTATGAAATCTTAAATTGGTTATGAAATCAAAAATTGGTTCGATCCTTGGGGTTTGTTGCGATATAGTTTATACCAATGCTATACCTCTGTTGTTTTTATGTAGTTCATCTGCATAATGTTTTAGGTTTTGAGTTTATGAATACCTGGAGAAGTTTTTTTGGATCATGAAACAATGTAAACTTTAGATCATATGTACTTGATTTGAGTTGTTGCCCTTTTTGTGAAATCAGAAATCAAAAATTGGTTTTGGAATAAAAAAATTGTTCTTGGTCTAATGTTATGAAATCTTAAATTGGCTATGAAATCAGAAATTCATCTTGCTGTAATGTTATGAAATCTGAAACTATTTGTTTAAGTGCTATGAAATTAGAATCATTCTTTGCTCTAATTTATGAAATCTGAAACTTGGTTGTGTATAAGCTATGAAATAAAAAATCATAATTTTTTTTTGTGTATAAGCTATGAAATATGAAAGTTATGATGACAATGTTGGTTTGGAACAAAATTTGAAATCTTTTTTTTTTGTGTATAAGCTATGTTGGCAATGCTGTGAATTTTATTTATTTATTTATTTATTTTGTTTATAAGCTATGAAATCTGGAATCTTTTTTTGTTTATAAGTTATGTTGGCAATGCTGTGAATTTTTTATTTTGTTTATAATCTATGAAAGCTGGATTTTTTTTTTGTGTGTATAAGCTATGTTGACCTTAATTGTTCTATTATTATTTAGGATGATATTGATTCATTGGTAGAAAATTATTTTAATGTTTTAGGATGTTGGTTTGGAACGAAAGTGAGGACAAAACTTTTATTGATGCATGTATCCATGAACTAACCACTAATGGTTGTGAGGGTTCTGGCCTTAAGGCTAGTTCATGGAAGATAGTACGCGAAAAATTGATAAACGAACACGGTAAAGAGGTTGATCAGAAGCAAATGAGAAACCACTTTGACTACTACAAATCAAAGTATGTTGCTTGGGTGAAACTGAAAAACAAAACCGGCAATATATATGACCCTATAAAAAATAAATTTAACCTGACCGATGAACAATGGAAGGAAGAGGGGAGGTAATATTTTTATAACAAATACTATTATGATTATTTTTATATAAATACTAATATTTATAAAATTTTAAACAGTTGAACAAGTTCGTGTTGTCATTGAAAACTAAACCCCTGCTGTTTCTTGATCTTTGCACCCAACAATTTGAAGGGTCGACCTCAACCGGTTTTCAAAGTTGGGGCCCATCTTCTACACTCCCTCGTCTTGTAGAAGAGTTTAGTGCCCATGATTTTGATGATGATGTTCCAATGGAAACCTCAACAAAACACGTAGGTGCGAGTGAAGAATCTTCGGGGCGTTCAAAAAATACGAAAGTTGGTGGAAAAAAAGAGATGCAAGGGCATTAGAAGTTGAAGAGGAGATTGTCAAGCTTGCAAGGTCGTTAGTGGAAAAAAATGAAAGAATTGAAAAAGGTGAAATAGATTAGGATGTTGATGCGTGTATGGAGAAATTAAACAAAGTGGAATGGGGAGAAGAAGATGAAAGACACAAGACCGCTCTTTTGCTATTTGGTGAAAGTGTCGATGTTAGAAACGTTTGGATATGACTTTCGCATACTAGTTGTGAGTCGTGGGTGATGGGTGCGGGTAGGAAGTATGGTTACCTTTGATGATGTTTACTAGTTTTTTGTTGCATGACTTTTTGTTATTTGCATGACTTTTGGATCCTATGTTTGATGACTTTTTTGGATGTTACTTTGGATGATGTGTACTAGTTGTTTTGTTATGTGACTTTTGTTACTTTGGATGATATTTGGATATTGAATATGACTTTTGTTATTTACTAGTTTTTTGTTATATGACGTTTGTTATATGACTTTTGTTACTTTAACATGTTACCTAATTGTTTGTAACAGGTCAAGTATGGTTTCTGATGGTGAAGTTGTAGCTTTTCTTTTACTTGTGTTTTATTGGTTGAGGTCAAACCGACACATGCTAATCAGAATTCATAGAATTAGAGATAACGATTCAAGCGGGTATGCGTATACGCAAGATTTGATGTACGGAGACCCTACACAATGTTTCGATATGATGCGTCTTACACAAGAGGCATTTGCTTTATTATGCAACTATTTTACCCAAAAAATTGGCTGTAAGCTAGTAGGAAAATAAGCATTGAAGAGAAGATGACTATATTCTTACATGTTATAGGACATAATGAACGTTTTCACTCGGTTAAGGGAAGATTTCAACACTCCACACAAACGATTCATCAGTGTTTTCACGAGGTCCTAACGACAATGATGTGTTTTGCAAAAGAAATTATAGTACCAACAACTCCTAATCCAACAAGACATAACTCGGAACGACATAGACGGTTAAAAAATATTTTTTCCGGAGCAATAGGTGCATTAGATGGAACTCTTGTACATGCGGTTGTACCCGTTGATCAACAAACTCGTTATAGAGGAAGAGGAAAAAGGAGAATGCTTTCAAAATGTAATAGGAAATTGTGATTTTGATATGATATTCACCTTTGTTTGGGCTGGCTGGGAGGGTATAGCACATGATTCAAGAGTTTTGAAAGAAGTTGCAGATAAATATTACCTTTGTGATGCCGCATATACAAACACTCGTGGGTTTATGACTCCATACCACAATACTAGGTATTGGTTAGCCGATTTTCGAAGAGGCCGATCTTTAACTAGAGAAGAAAGGTTCAATTATGCTAATGCACAACTTAGAAATGTTATTGAGCGTGCTTATGGTGTATTGAAGGCGAGATTCCCAATCTTAAAACAAATGGCTCCTTATCCTTTTACAGTGCAAAGAGACATAGTTATTGCTTGTGTCGCGGTCCATAATTTTATAAGGAAATACAATATTGAAGATGACTTGTTTACAAATTTTGAGGAGGTCACTATGGTTACTCCTGACATCCAAGGTGGGAGAATTGATAGAGAAAACATACAAGACATAGAATGGGGCCCAGAAGTCGTTCAATATATGTGTGTTTTGCGTGATCAGATTGCAAATCAACTACTTTCACCTACTTTACATTAAATTATTATGTTATTTAAATTTCATTATGTTTTTATTTGGATATTAAATGATTTATGTTTAATTTATATTTTGTATGACAATTTTATTTGGATTTTTAAATGACTTGTGTGTAATTTACATTTTGTATGACAATCTGTATGTTTTTATAATTATTCAGCAACTTCATCCATCGCTATATATAACAACAGGGTAAAATGATCATTTTTCATCACTCAGCACATTCAGTCAGATGTACAATCAAACAACAGAATTTCTTACTCAGTCATGATTTCTTATCCAGACAGACCTTTCCCAGTCAGCACTTTCTCAATCAGCAACTATCAAACGGGGTCTTAGTCTACTCGTTATATGTCTCCATATGTTTAGACACGTGAAGGTCTGAAGAGTAATAGTTCCATAGTACAAGGGGCAAAGAAAAATGTTCTCTACATATATGGGCAGTCGGAAGAGGCGGGAAAATGGTAAAAACCCTAGTTCGGATTGAGCATCGGTCGTTCTTCTCGTTAATTTCTACTTGATTTTTCCACCAATCCACGCAAATGGGGATAAAGGTAGTTATTTTCCTAAAATCTGATAATCTTTTCTTGTCGTTAACATGTTTGATTCTGGTAATTTAAACTGTATTGAAAACTGTTTCTTGAATTTGGGTGTTTAGGGTTTAACGAAGCTTCTAGCGGACAATGCCCCGAAGGCCATGAAAGAGCAGAAATTCGAGAGTTATTTTGGTCGGAAAATCGCCATCGATGCTAGCATGAGCATCTACCAGTTTCTGGTACCCAAATTCTCGTTTCCCCTTTCCCTTCCCATTTCAACATAAATCACTATACGTATGTGTTATGCTTCATATGAATTGGATCTACTGTAGATTGTCGTCGGAAGAAGTGGGACAGAAATGCTGACCAATGAGGCTGGTGATGTGACTAGGTAAGTGTCTCAAACGATTTTTCCCCTCTTAAACATATTAATTTTGGATGAAAGATCATTGAATATTATTCTAATCCACAATTTGGGTCTCATTTTTACAATTTGTTGTATGTATAACAGCCATTTGCAAGGAATGTTCAATCGGACTATTAGGCTTCTGGAATCTGGATTGAAGCCAGTGTAAATCCCTATTTCCTTCTTCTTCTTTTTTAATCTTTCATTTCTTTATATGTATGACCAATTTGACCTTCCTCTGTATATATAGCTATGTTTTTGATGGGGCACCTCCCGATTTGAAGAAACAAGAACTTGCAAAAAGGTAACCTAATTCTTGTTTTATCATTACAAATAATGTCAATAATTTGACATAGTTTTAGAGTTATTATTACACAGATACTCAAGGCGAGAAGATGCAACAGCCGAGTTAGATGAGGCTATTAAGGTAATTTCAGGACATGTTTCCATTTCTTTTATGTGATCTTCATGTTTTTTTACTTGATTTTTTTTTATCTTTTCACTGTTGTAGTCCGGCAATAAAGAAGACATTGAGAAATTTAGTAAACGTACTGTGAAGGTATCTAATTATCTATGTTTTTTTTAATGTTTATTTAATTTTTAATTTATTTATGTTATAAACTATAAATAATTTTTTAGGTAACAAGACAACATAATGAGGATTGCAAAAAACTTCTAAGGCTTATGGGAGTGCCTGTTATTGAGGTAACTTTTTTTTTTTTTTTTTTTTTTTTTAAATAATAATTGAGAAAATAACATCACACTTATGGAAATGGAATGAAAGTAAATAAGGGTAAATTTGTAATTTTATTTGTTATGGGAGTGTAGGCCCCATCTGAAGCAGAGGCACAATGTGCTGCCCTTTGCAAAGCTGATAAGGTAATGTATTTTTTCCGTATATGCAAACAAAACAAACATTTTTTTTTATTTAATATATTTAATTATAATATATAAATTTGTTTCAGGTGTATGCTGTTGCTTCTGAAGATATGGATTCTCTTACTTTTGGTGCACCAAAATTTCTTAGACATTTAATGGATCCTGCTTCAAGAAAAATTCCCGTGATGGAATTTGATGTTTCCAAGGTTTTAAATTAAAAAAATAAATAATTTTTTTTTTTACTATTTTTTAACGCTGAGGTGTTAATTTTATAACAGGTTTTGGAGGAACTGAACCTTACAATGGATCAATTTATTGATCTCTGTATCCTATGTGGATGTGATTATTGTGATAGTATTAGAGGTTGTTAAATAAATATATAATTTTTATAGTTTTTTTTTAAAATTTTTTTTTATTTTAAATGTTTTTTTATTTTTAAATTTTAGGTATTGGTGGGCAGACAGCTTTGAAGCTCATTCGTCAACACGGGTCAATAGAAACTATTCTTGAAAATATAAATAAAGAAAGGTTCTTTATTTATTTATTTTTTAAAAAAATCTTGAGAGTATTATTTACGTTTTTACCCTTGTTGTCAGATATCAAATACCTGAGAATTGGCCATATCAGGAGGCTAGACGCCTTTTCAAAGAGCCTTTGGTTTGTGTTGATGATGAACAGCTTGAACTTAAATGGACTTCTCCAGATGAAGAAGTGAGATTCATATTATAATAACAAAAAATAGCAATGTACTTTGAAAAATCTACCAAATTATACTAATTTTTGCTAAAATTAATTAATTATTTTTTCAAAGTATGATGTAATAATTGGACATTTTTTTTTTTCATTTTCAGGGGTTGTTAAACTTCTTGGTGACTGAAAATGGGTTCAACAGTGACAGAGTCACAAAGGCAAGGACACCAAATGATTTACTTTTTGTTTATTTATTTATTTAAAAAAAATCTTTTTGTATTTATTTTTTCTAGCTCTTTGTGTATGTAATTAACTAAATATAGAACTAATCATGTATTTTAATAACAGGCAGTAGAGAAAATAAAAGCTTCCAAGAACAAGTCGTCACAAAATCGGTAAAAAACTTTAACCTAATTATTCATTTTTTGCCTATGCATTTTTAATTATTTATTTATTTTTAATTTTATTTTGTGCTTTCTTTATACCAGATTAGAATCATTCTTTAAACCAGTTGTTAGCACTTCTGTTCCCATTAAAAGAAAGGTACGCTTTCCTTTTCTAGTAGTTGATTTATTTTAATGTATTTTTATTTTCGTGGAATCATCACCAGTTATATTTCTCTTAAATTGTTTTAGCAAAAATTGAGGCCTGATTATTTTTTTCTGCTTGAGTAGTTAATATTTAATAAAATAAGTTAAAAAGAAATTAGAAAAAAAAGGTGGAACATTGTTGCATAATTACCGAATTACGAATTTAACCCTTTGGCTGTCAGGATACTAAATGCATTCTTGGATCTTCAAAACAAGTAACCAAGACTAAGATATTAACTGGAAAGATCATAAGCAGATTTAGTCCTCCAACTTTAAGTCTGTGTTCCAAACACCCCCTGATGTTATCCAAAGGTGTATGCTTTGGCACATGAAGCCAAAATGGTGATTTTTTAGATTTTAGCCGTGTTTTTAACTTTTTTTTAATGGTTTTGAGAAACTAGTGATTGACTTAGGCCATGTTTTTTTTTTCTTCCAATAAAAACTTATTTGAGAAAATGCTGTGTATGGATTTTTTTTTTTGTTTTTGTTTTTTATAGTTTATGACGTTTTTTTTTGACAGGAAACGAATGAAAAAGCTGCAAAAGAATCAGCCAACAAAAAGGCAAAGGGTGGAGCTGGTAGAAAAAAGAAATAGGTTCGTTTTTTAATTTTCTTTTAATTCAAAGTTTATGAAGGTCAAAATACAAAAAAGAAAAAAAAAAAGGAAAAAAAACACCTGTAACTTTCATCATTTTATGGATTTGGCCATTTAAATATTTTTATTTATCATTGAGATTTCTTTTCTACACTTGTAGGTGCTGCTTCTGTTGTATGCCTGATGTCTCCCTCCAACTTTGATGATTTTTTTTTAATATTTTGTTTTGTAATATTAAGAAGTTTCTAGTTTCTGATGATAATTTCGCTCTAAAATCGAGGTATCATGTTATCTTTTACTGAAAAGACTGTTTTCTTTACATCAGTAATATTGACGTCTGTGTAGAGTAAAGTGTACTTTGCATGTTTCTTTCTCTATGATTCATGTGATTGCATGTTAAATATAGCAATGCTAGGAAACACTTTTTTTTTTAATAAAATTAACTCTTTATAAAAAGTAAAAACGATTCAACAACGTAAAGCAAAGCAAACCTGCATCACATTCAAACCCGAATTAGAACCTAACATATAAACCAAAAACAACCAACCCAAATGTCATGAATTGTTCATATTCATCGGCATTCGTTAGTTTCTCATTCTATTGAACACAAACCAAATATCTAATATCTAATTATCAATATAAAGCAAATTCTAAAGTACGTATATAAACATGGTTGAATTTAAACAAAAATAAAGTAGTTTATTAGTTTTGGGCACAACTAATATTCTAAATTTAACAAAATCCAAATGTCCACTCTTCAAATATAATGTTAAAAAAAAAATACGCATCACAAATGCTAATAATATGACATGATATATCCATCCATCCTCTTGTTTTTTATTATTGAAGTCATGAGGATCCTTGAAGCAAATCGTTTTTACTTTTACCTTTCTTCATTTTGGCTTTCACCCGTGATTTTGACACCAGGGTTTTTACCGTGTTTGTGAAATTCCCTACCGCCATAATTATCAAAAGAACTCCACACGTAACCACCTGGTCAAAAATATAAATTTTATTTTTTTTAATAGACTGATACTGATCCTGAAACTGATGTCAATAACACAAAATTTGCATTTATTTATTTTGTCTCATCCAAAAAGACTGATGTTAATGAGACAAAAATTGTATCTTTTTTATGTACAAACCAAAAAAGTGGACCAGGGACTCGTTCTTGATCTTTTTCAAATGTGAAAAAGACGTAAATGCCCTTCTGATCTGCATCGTAAAAAATACAAGTATGAATTAGAATAGATAATGACATACCTGCCACTCAGAAACGACACCAACCACTGCGGTTTTAAGCAATAGCAGACCCACATATGCTTCAAAAGCCTACGAATAAAAAAGATAAGCAAAGGGTAAATTCGTAAATTGGAAGTACAATGCTATGAAAGTAGGTTGGTATTTAAGCAGAAAATGACCTGTAAGACAAAGAGAATTGGGTATAAAAGCCATATTTGACCTTCTACTCCAGCAGTTTCACCCCACACAACATCCATTCTTCTAGCCTGCAATCAAAATCAAGTCCTTAAAGATCCGTTTTCTTTTTAATGATTTTTAGGGTCACATTTAATCTTTTTCTTTGTATTTAAAAAAAAAAAATTATAACAATACCTTTCCCAATGCTATACGAGTATAGAGCCTCTGGCGTTGATATCTATTTTGTAAAAGCATTGCAACTCCTTGCATGATTGCCCATTTCAAAAACAATTGTATACCTTTCTGAAAAAATGTAAAAAAAAAATAAATAAGATTAAAATTTAAACACACGAGCCTAATATTACATGAAATGAAATAATTTAACCTGTTTCTGGGAGCAATCGGGTTGCCTTTCTATCTCCCATGTGAGGCTGATGAGTGCCATAAGCATAGCACAATAGTGATGATATATCCACCTGAAAAATCACAAGATATCAAGAGGGCATTTACGTCTTTTGCACAAATGAAAGATCAAGAACAAGAACAAGTCCATGCCCACTTTTTTAAGTGGGAAAAAAAGTTGCAATTTTTTTGTCTTCTTAACATCAGTCTTAGTCCAATGCATGTCAAATGCAGTACAACCTGTCCTGTGTAACATGTGGGCCCTACACAGCTTAAACATTTAGAAGGAAAGATTAATGAGACCAAAATGTTTGTTGAATTATTACCATGGACGTATGTCACTTCCATTAACTCTCAAGATATTCTCTCTCAAAGCCAACCCTGTGTAGAGAAAGAGCAACCACGCCTGAAAAGGGCACACTTGTAATTATCTAGTAAGCTTTAAAGGGAGCATTAAACTTTCTAGGGTTATTTTCAATGATGAGGATGAGGAGGGCATTAACGCCTTTTGCATAGAAAAGAGATCTTTCTAGTTCCAGTCCAATGCATGTCAAACACAGTACAACCTGTTATGTGTCCTGTGTAACAAATGGGATACAAGAGTGTGATGAGAAGAACACACAGTACCTGGTACATCTGAACAGGTAATGCAGGAAAACATCCATTCCATACCCATGACCTTAGAAGCAGAAGCAATGATGGGAAAAAAAGAAATAGATATGCAGTCCTATCCTGCTCATAGGGAACCAAAAAGAAAGAAAATAAAATTCTCTCTTTAGAAAAAAAATTAACCAAATGAAAACATCTTCAAGTTATAATATAGTTATGGAAGAGGTTTAAGATATTATATAGGTGGAAGGTTTAGAACTTACTCTGAAATTATTGTATTCCTCTTTCACTTTCAATTGAACATCCTTTCTGGTAGCATGAACATTTATGGGACCAAGAAACATCTTCAAAAATCTTCCTGTAACCAAACAACACCAATTAAGATAATTATTTTCGAATTCTTTAGCTAAAATTTATTGCTTTCAAAATACAAAATTTGTTTGGATTTAACTAAACACCAAGTCATTACCACTTTATAAATATAACTCTTCATAGCTCTATGGAGTTGTCAAAATTTCCTTCAACGTTTTCAAAATCATTCCAATTTGAAATTGGAAAGTATGAATTATCAAAAAGTGGTGTGACTAGTGTTCTCACAAGCATAATAATGAAGGATTAAATTAATTAATGGAAGCAAATCACCATAAGATTTGCTGGGAAGAAATGCAGCTGCATCTCCTTCACTCAATGTATAACTCGCTCTAGTTAGCTCATCAACCAACTGTGTGAGGATAAAACAAACAATCAACTACAACCCAAATAAAGCATCCATTTTTATAACTAAAAAAACCTGCAAGTAAAGCTGTCCACACAATAATATCTTCAATTTGCAACGAAAAATTCAGTATTTATTAGCTTAAATACACACAGTAGCTTCTCGAGAGTGAACTATTAAGAATCAATCAAACACACAAGGCCTTACTTTTTCGGCATCTTTTGGATCCAAATTCCCTTTCTTGACGGAGGAAGCAATGTATGAATGAAGCCTTTTGATACTTGAATCTAGAGCTAGGGCTCGTTGCCTTAGTGAAGCTTCCTCCTGTGAATTTCGAGAAATTAAAGTTGCCGCAGATTCCTGCAACTCTTTACTCTGTTCCACGATTCTACAAACTTCTTCCGCCGCGTTTCTCTCAGACGTGTTATTATCACCGCCACTGACGGTGGCGGTGGAGTCTCCCATCTCGAACAGATCAACGATCGATCGACTTTCTACCCAATTTTCACTGAACTGATTGCTTCTGCGTTTTTATAGTTATCGAAAAACTATGCGCCTGATTCCGTGATTAATGAATCGAATAACAAGGAAGAACACGAATAGAGAAAAAGTACCGGGAATTAAACAGGGATGGGAGGTTTCCGGCAAGGAAACGGCGACGACGGTGGCGAATCTTAAGCACACAATCTGATAGTTAAAGTCGTAATTTATAGTATCTCCGATCTCGCGATATTCATCACCACATAATTCAATTAAGATTTTATTTCCATATATTTCAATTATGGCAAATGGCGTGCTACATATTTTAAGAGGGTCATATTTGACAAGTAAACTAACTTTTTAAAAAGAAATAATGATTTAAAAGGTTAATATATTTTTTGATTTGTGCATATTTGGGCATTGAATTTTCTTTTTGTCCATGTTACTCATTCAACTTGTTAAACTGTAAACATTTAGTTCTTATGACCAACTACTTCAGGTTAGCTGGTAAAAATGACTTAATATGGTAATATATTTCTCATTTTATACACATTTAGTCCTTAATATTTTTGTACACGTTTAGTCATTAATATTTTTTTGTTGCAAAATAAGTCATTTTTGTTTTTGTACTCATTCAATACTTATGAATGATTTATTTTGGTTTTTCTCACGACATCTTACGTGAGACAATCATTAATGATGTGTTTGGGGATTTTGATGTTTATGTCCATTGCGATCTCGACTACTTGGTTGCTTAGGTCATGTGTTCTAAACGTAACAACTTCTTCATACGATCTTGGATTATAACGGTCTTTATATCCATCCGTTCGTATTTTAGGGGCTGTATGGCATGATCTGAATTTTTAAGAGGTCTGAATTTCTAAGAGGGTCTGAATTTTTAAGATCTAAATTTTTAATATGCTGTTTGGTTAGAACCTCTTAATTGTTGTGCTGAATTATAAAAATGACCATTTTACCTTTCTGTATAAGTTTTTGCTAAGTTCAAAGTTTTTGATTAAAACCATCGAATCAACCTCTTGAATAACTATAAGGAAAAATATACACGCCATACACAATTCAAATTAAACATAAATCAAAATTAAACACAAATACAAATCAAATAAGGTCCAACTTCATATATTTGATCAATACCAATACTACTTGTATACATAGAATCCAAACTAAAATCAATATGAATAAATACTCGTGTCTCAAGTATGGCATAATCAGCATTAATAACTTCCTATGTAGTAGGTTCAGGAGTGTTTCCCGCACATCATACATTTCAAAATTCATAAATCACACCACCACAAGACCTAAGACAAACCACAAGACCTACACAACCAAACAGTCGATATCGCGATGGACATAAGCATCAATAGCCCCAAAAACACCTCATCAATGATTTCCCTATATAAGATATCGTGTGAAAAACTTAAAGAAACCATTCATAAGTACTGAATGAGTAAAAAAACCAAAAATTTCTTATTTTGAAACAAAAAAAAATATATTAAGGGCTAAATGTGTACAAAAAAATTAAGGACTAAATGTGTACAAAATAAAATATATATTACCTTATTAAGTCATTTTTCCCGGCCAACCTGGTGTAACCGGTCATAAGGACTGAATAAGTACAGTTTAACAAGTTGAAGGGGGTAAATGTGGACGAAAAAAAAACTCAGTGACCAAATGTATACAAATTAAATAATATATTACCCTTTTAAGTCATTATCCCTTTTAAAAAAAGGTATGTAGAATAGTTTTTGAAAAGTTTTATATAAATTTCTTAAATATACCTTTAATCAATTATAAAAAAAATATATTTTTTTTCTAAATGTTATTTTATAATTTCAACTAGTTTATCATATAATTTTTTATCAAATATAAATTTTTATCAGTTACCTTATAAGTTAACAGTTAACTTTTGAACTATCAACTAGTTTTTCAGTTAGCAAGTTAAATATAACTCATATATTAATTATCAAATACTCGAAAAGGAAAATTGAAAAATAAAAAAAAATTGAAATGTATGGAGGATGTACATGAGAATTATACTAGGAATGATGTCAAGAATCTCCTGTGGACCCCGACTCCATGGGTCCCCGTTATCGTACGAAGATATTTTTTTTATAATATTTTAAGGTTTGGGGACGAGGACATGTTCTACCCCTCTTTAGTTTCAGGGGATAGGCGCTCTGTCCCTAATATCCCACGGGGGCCCCAAAATTATTATCCTATATTTAACTAATTTATTTATAAAAATAATAAATAAATTTGGAGTAACCATTGTGTAATATATATATATATATATATATATATATATATATATATATATATATAGTATTTAAATAACTAGTGTGATGTTTAAAATTAAACGAAATAAACAAGTAAAAAAAGGGTTAATAAGGTTAAATGAGGGATTTCGGGCCAAACATGGTTAACGTGGGATTCAGAGGAAATAGGGAAACTGGGATGGAAGTGTGGGTGATATTGAAATTTGAGGGTAGGATCAAGGGCGAAGACACAGGGGGATCGAGGCCAAGGGAACATGAGAATTCGAGAGCGGAGGCGGGGATACTATTTCTGCCCCCGTTTGGCTCCATTGACATCCCTAATTTATAATGTCTATTTATTAAGGAAAGTAATTGTTTTAACAAATAGTAAATTATATGAAAAACAATGTTGTTAAGATCGAAATCCTAGATTAGGATCACAAGAACCTACAAAAAACTATAACCAAAAAGCAACCACTAAGCTCAGCATAATCGTTTTTGTAACATCGAACCTAAGTTCTTAAGAGCCTAAGATCGTTCCTTCAGATCTTAGCCATTCTCTTTCATTTGGTCTTAGTGACTAAAATGACAACTATAATTTTTTTAACCTTTGAAAAAAAACATCACACGTATTAGTTAAATAATCCAATGCAAAAACTAAATAATTTATCCTTTCAAGTTGAAAAAGCCACATAAATTCAGTTGCTAAGCTCGGAATCTAACATCCCAAATCACATGAATCCACACAGAGCCTCCCTGCTCTGTTCACTCATAAAATATGAGAGCAAATTGAGGTCAATAAACTTGTCTAACTCATTTGAACTCTAAACACTCGACACATGGCCATATGGAAACAATGTAACAACTGACCAATGCCCCATAGGCAATATATATAAGTTCTATGATGTATGTGTTTAGCATACGGTCCATGTATTTGTTTAGATGTGCAGAAAATCCAAAACAACATTGTACTTTGCCAAATCCATTTCTAGCACTTCCAAACTTCATTTTAACGATTTAAAAGTGATTATAGTGGATCCAAAACTTGTTTTAAACACGTAATAACATCCTTAACTTAATTAAATCATTAACATAATACATTATCCCATAAATCTCAAATTTAAACCTTTAAACCCAAATGAAGGAGATGGGAGGTTTTGGGGGTTAAGAGATACCGTCTTTCATCGTTTGGCAAGACTAATCCCTTAACTTATATTTCAATCCTAAAAGTTAATATTCTTACAAACTAAATCCAAAACCTAGTTAGATATCTTAGAATGGATAACACACACTCATTGCTACACTTATAGGGCGTGTTCGACACGTAGCGTTTGATAAAACGTTATGTTTTGAACAAAAAGTCACGTTTGATACCACAAACTTTTAGCGTTTAGTTTAAACCAAAACGCTCAAAATCCAAAAGTTACCTAACGTAGTGTTTAACAAAACGCTACTAGTTACCAGCTAGTTTTGCTAACACACTCATAAAGTATGCACTTCGTTCTAAATAAGACTTGAATTGCAGATGGGCATATTTCCACCAAAACTAGACATGTAGATCAAATAACATACCTTAAGTTCGATGATTAATAGGTTAACTAACATCCACAAGATTTAAGCTTCAGTTCCAACCAATCAAATAATTAATTTTAATTTAAGTACCTTAAATTAACTAAAAATTGAAAGTTTAATTAATTACTCGTATATAATTTATTTTAAAATCCTTTTATTTAATGAGAACTACACCTAAAAGAGAATGAAAAAGATGAATCGACCGTTGTCTTTTTTTTTTGGGAAAGAGAATGAAACCTCAGCCAAATTTATTGGCCGATTTGTTGAAGTGTATCTCGAAGACATTTTATAAGATATAACATATTTTAGAAAAATGACCACTTTTTTATAAGACAAAATTTGATATATGTAACGTTTAATATGTGTCTATGTTAATAATGACAACTAAAATTTAGAGTTCGAGTGATCTATTAAGACAACAATTTTAGACAAGTCATGTTTTATATGATGAATTTTGATAACAATGTAAACTTTGAAATACAACATGTTTATTCGACAGCCACAAATTATTTGATATGATAATATTTTATGATGATGAAACATTTTAAAATGCGAGTAGATTACGTCAAAATTAACTCCAAAATATGAGTAATATTTTGTGACAATAAACTAGTTTAAGAATGACCAATTTATATTTTTAATTTATATAATGTGAGTATATTTTAATAGTTAAAGTTTACAAGAATTTATCATCATAAATTATATTATAGGTTAAACTAGTAATCATAAAAGAAACACAAATTTAACAAACAAAAATAACAAAACAATGCAAGATAAAGAAGAGGGGAAAGTTAGGTGGGGGAGTTCATAAGAACAGAAAAGTTAAAAGGATGGTGGTTGTGACGTTGATCCAATTTTAGATTAGTTGAGAATTAATTTATTGTTAATTAATTAATTCGTTAGATCATGTTTAAGTAGTATATTTTAGCCTAATGCCAAGACTGATTAATAAGGAAAGAATTATAACTATTTAGTCCCATTCGAACAAAGGTGGTACAAAACTGAATAAAGACTCACACTCCCATCTTTTGTTCTACCAAAAAAAGTGAGTGATCTATTCTTCATCATATCCCATCATGTCTTGTGTATCAAACACAACATTATAGAAATTAAGAAATTATTTGATAGTTGCTAATTAAGTCATATATGACTGAGTCAAAATATATCATTAAATCAGATCGAGTAAGAGACATATAAGAAGAGTCAGGACTGAGCCAGAAGCTTGTAAGTATGATATCAATCTGAATCTGGATGAGTCAGATCTAACCACTTATCAGACTCAGTAAGAAGCATATCAAACAGTCTTTAAGAATTGTTGAAGTTGCTATGTATTCTCTCCCATGTTTAGTTGTCAATGGGGGTTTGTTAATCGGGAGATATCTATGTGCGCCAAATATGGTAGGATAGCTGATGTGTTCCCTGCTTGTAAGAGGTCCAAAAGTGAAAAATATGATTGATTTCGTGCGGTTCTTGGTGGTGGATAAGGTGGATGTTTTTACCCATAATTTGTGTTCTTTACGGGTAAGTAATCACAAGGTTTTTTTTTACTCCTTTAGTCATATTTGAAAGTAATTTGAGTTGTGAATCAAACATGTCTAGTGGGAGGTTCAAAAGTGCAAGAACTTTCTTTTAATAATGGATATGTTCAAGGATAACATAACTATCAATTTTCTTCCCAACTATTCATTAGCTACTTATGCTATGATCATTTTTAAACTTCCGAACCATTGGAATGCAATTTCTTGAAACCATTTATCTTTTCCTATGAGACTGTAGAAATCATATACTCATATATATAATTAATGCATGTTTGGTCAACATATGCAAAGTGCTTTATTATTTATTTTGGACACTTTTGTAAAGTATTGTAATATTATCTTTTAGATTTAGTATTTTTTGTTCATGATGAATCACATGATAAATGAATTTCTTCTATATGCGTTAATATCATGTTAAACAACTTTGTTTCTTTCATCATCTTTTCATCTTGTTTCCTTTAGTATATGTTTGGATAAATATTGCTTTTTCGATATTGAAGTTACTTATGTATGCATCGATTGTAAGCATGGCCTTCGAAGGAACAAATCAACTTTGTTATTTAGTTAGAAAATTTTGTGTTAACATGGTATTACCACATAAGCATACAAACTATTTACATATTCAAGCAAACTCCACAAATTATAATTTGAAATTCTCGATGTGATATTCATATAACAACATTAGTCAAACATTCAACCAAAAGTGCAAAATCACAACGGGTCATGCTTATTTCTATACAATCGGGCATAGTATGTTGGAAGATTGACTCTTTGATGTTGATTTTGACTTCAAAGTTTCCTTTTTTGGTTAAAGTGGTAATCACCTTGTCATGAGAGTCAAAATTGTGATCGGGTATAGTATGTTGGAAGATTGACTATTTGATGTTGACATTGACTTTGAAATTTCCTTTTTTGGTTAAAGTTGTGATCACATTGTCATGAGAGTCAAAATGTGATCGATCGAGTGATAGTCGAATCGAAAGTATGTTGATAATTATGACAAAATGATGTTATGATGACATGAGGTGCACGTTACAATGAAATCCAACCAAGTTATGAGATGAAGATATGTTGAATTGACCATAATACAATTGCTTAGAAATGGGGAGAATGTCCCATATAAGTTGGAAATTTTCATAAAAAAACTTCGAGTTTTTCAGGAATTAAGAGCTAAAGGAGGTAACTTCAGCTACTATTATCGGTTTCAATCCCTCAATCTATGTGGATCAAATCCTTGAGGTAATCCATTCATCTTGTTCTTGATGTTCCTTTAATAATGAAGGATGTCTATATGTACATGTTAACCCATTATTAGCCCATCATTTTGTATTGTGGGGTTGTTTGATGTCTTTTACTGATAAAAGAGTCTGAGTCTAACTCGATCATATTTAAACAGTTTGATACCATGATTAAAAGCCTTTGATTCGGTCTTATAGCCTCATATATGTTTTTTACCGAGTCTGATAAAAAGCACATGTACAACTCAATCAGACATCGACTCATATCTCACTGTGTTAACACCTATCATATAAATTATAAGATTGAAAAATGAAAAAAATGAAAAAAGCTCCTATTAATTAATTAAAAAATCATATAAATTATAAGATTGAAAAGTATGGTGTATGCAGAGTGAAAATATTTTGGGTGATCCCATTGACATGGATGGGAGGTAGTACACATCTGATGACGCAGAAGAAGCCAGTACCCTTCAACTTAAGGCTGACATTATGGAAGCACAACTCAACACTCATTGCATTAATTTTTAGAAGTGTTTTTTTAATTTTTTTTTTCACGTTTAATATAATTTTGTATATTTCAAAATCTTATAACTTTTTTTTGCCTAACATTTCTACACAAATAAAAGTTAATTATAACTACAAACTATTCTTGTAAAACATAACTAACTCAACTCAGTTGAAAAGGTTGGCAAGTGGCAACTCAACATAATTAAACTACAAACAAATTAAACATATCTCAAGAAAACACATAAGAAACACCACATTATACAAAAAAGAATGATTCCGAATGAAAAAAAAATGTCAATAGATATGAGTTAGATAAAAAAACAAATCAAGAAACATATCTATTTAATAACAAAAAAAAAAAAGATAAAAATCCCCCAAGTATAATGCATGCATGAGCAGGCCTGGTTTATGAACAGTTTTTTCACATGAAACATCACTCTCTCTGAAAGCAAAACCACCCACCAAAGTCCCACTTCCACAGTGAATCACTTTAATCTTTAACCTCATAGATTGCTTCTTCACAGAGATGGCAGAAAAATCGACCAATTTGGAAACTAATTTATATAAAAAATACATCAAAATGGACACATTTTATACATGTGAAGCTTGAAATTTTGTTTCTAGTGTTAAAAAAGATAAGAAAATTGGTATAAAAGAGTATAAAGTGATTCATCTGTACATGCATTCTTTCATCATCAAATTGATAGTACTATTACCATATCTAAAACCCACATCACACACAGATACACACACTCAGTGTGTGACATAAATGAAATATGCAAAGAGGGTTTTAGTTTTAGGTAGTTACCTGTGAGATTTGAGAATGAGGAAAAGCAAAGGAATTGGAGAGATAGTTGAAGTAGAAGGAGGTGGTCGAATCGTTAGGTCGCTCAGAAGAAAAGATCGCCATAGCAAAGTCTGCACATCAAAGGGTCCGAGGGATCGGCGTGTTCGTTTATCAGCCAACACGGCTATCCAGTTCTACGATGTTCAAGACAGGCTTGGGTATGATCGACCCAGTAAAGCCATTGATTGGCTCATGAAGGAAGCGAAACCAGTGATTGATGCGCTCGAGAATGATCACCATGAGCATGAGTTGCTTACATCTGTTGTCGATGCCTCTGAGGCATTTCATCGAACAGGTGGTGAGCGGAACCAGGAGATCTCCACTCTCGCGAAAATCAGTGGTTTTGATGACTACCCAATGGGGTCAATCGATTCAAGAAACAAAAACCAGGAAAAATCGATTGAAGAAGAAGAAGAAGTTATAACCCCGATGGATTTCACGTGGAATCCGAGTTACGATTCGGGAGATGGCTTTGCGTTTGTTGATAGGGAACCCCTTCAGTCCAGTTACCCTACACTCATCCATACATTCAACAATGCGTTTGTAGACGATGAAGAGTTTTTGGGATTTAATTTTCAGCAGGAAAATCATCTTCAAGAGGAGGAAAATTGCAACCTTGTGTCCAAAACCCGTCGCTCCTCTGCCACTTCCTACCAAATTCTCTGAACAAGGTAACAAGCTCTCCTCCTATAACAATTAATTTACAGAAAAACCACAAAACTAGCTATTTTGTAATATTGATATATATATTTCAAAATAGTTTTTTTCTTCATAAAAAATCATCAATTTTACATAGGTCTATTGGAAAATCAACATTTTTTATGCCTACTTTTTTTATTATATTTTCCCCGTAAATCAATATCAACCAAACAATTCATTTTAGCACAACGATACTAATTTATTTTTGCAAAAAGAAATTTCAAAGGCCTCTACTTCTAAAAAAATAGTAAAAAATTATGATTTTCGTAATAATAATTTCGCATTATAAGAAAAATAATTCGCAATATATAATAACTCATATTTTAAAGTTTTTGAAACTACACAAAAACAAATTTTATGAGGAAATGGTAATTTAGAAGCGGTCAATTGTGAATACAATTGGTGTGTTTTTTGTGGAAAATATAAAAAATACCTATTTTGTAAAGGATGAATATTGAAATTTTTTATAAGAGAAGTAATTCATATATAACACTTTTTTGTAATAAATAACAATTAATGACTTAGATATGTTGTACAAAAAAAAAAAACACTTATGTACATATATAACAAAAAAAAGAAAAGAAAAAAAAACATTGTTATATATAATAAAAACTTGTTATCTATCAATCAGCTCTGCTTTTATAACAACACATCATATCTTTGACCTAACAACACATCATATCTTTGACCTAAATAACACTTATGTCCATATAAAATGTCATTTCATATGAACTTTGACAAGTTGTATGTCATCTCACCAACATGTATGAGTATGACCTTTAATCCCACTCATTTTTATGTCGATCGCCATATTGCTAACATGTTTAATAATTGAATTCATGTACTTCACTTCTAAAACAAGTACACTATTTGTGTTAATCGTTCAATATGACTTTTTATATGACATGAAGTTTTATATCATAAATTTCAAGTTTAAGACCACCTACTCCGGTGGAATGATGTTGAACTTTCTTTCGATTATGACATATCATGTTTTGTGATAGTCTCACTTCTCATTACAATATAAACACTGTTTAAAAAACAATATCCACTTACATATTAACAAATAATTTATAATTTTTAATAATTATTGTAATTATATATACCTCTAATTATTCAATGAAACATTATCACCAATATAATTTAATAGTTTAGATAATAATAGTTATTAAAGTATAATGTAATCAATATTGAATGGGTCTTAATTCTTCCTAAAAACATTTGATTATCCCACTAGAAAAAATAATGTTTTGACATTTATACCATTGGTTCTTAATATGTAAATAATTAAGAAAGAGAAAGACATTCCTAGACTCCTGGTGGCCATCGCTTCAATAAAAAGATCGAGAATTACGTGACTTCCATGTAGACTAGATTACTGCGTAACAGAAAGAACCAAGTAATTCAACTTTTCATCCTCTATTAATTAGGAGAACATGCACAAAAAAACCAAGAAATCTGTCATGGATGATGGGGTCTTCAACTTGCACCAGAAAAAAAAAATCAATATCAGATCCATGAAGAGAAAGAACAGGTGAAGAACAAGTGATTAACAATTTTCGTCACTTGATTAGACAAAACGCACAAATCCCAGTGCAAAAACTATCCCCCTTTCACACCGTCCCATTGTTTATCGCTTCTCCATGGAATTCGTCGAAGCACCACTTCATCTTCTTAAACACACCTTTTGTTAAACACACCTTTTGTTAAACACACATACAACTTTTACTTTCATTTTTAGTTTTAATTTAGCTTATTTAAGAACACCATCAAACTTCTTCAGTTTTTTGCACTGCTAGCACATTCCAACCTGTTGGAATCCTAAGTCGATGACGACTTGGAGACCAAACAATCTAATTTATGGCAAGTTGGTCATAAGTTTCCCAGTCTAATACAAGTTGGTATGTTAGGCTATATATACATGTTCATAATTAAGTTTATGATTATGAGTACAGATTGTAAAACATCGGTTTTGAGTTAGTTTCCGATTAATCAAAGAGTTATTTTGGTTATTTTGTTTTGCATTATTGTTTTCTAAACTTTAATTGGTATCAGATCTTAGGAACCGAAGGCTGTGAGATCAAATTTTTACCTGTTGACGAGTTAGGTCAACATGTCTAATGCAGGAGGAGCTGCTCCGGTGAATGTGAAGGAAGTTGGATCCACCACAGTTGTCTGTCCCATGCTATCATCAACCAACTATACTGTTTGGGCTATACGAATGAAGGTAGTTCTCAAAATCCATAAGGCTTGGACAGTAATTGATCCAGGAACAGAGAAGAACAAAGAGAAAGATTACCTGGCGATGAGGCTGTTGTATCAGGCGATCCTGAAGACTTTGATTATGCAAATCGGAGATGTGGAGTCCTCAAAGGTGCTGTGGGACGCAATCAAAGCCAGACACATGGGTGCTGACCGCGTGAAGGAAGCTAGGTTACAAACCTTGATGGCAGAATTCGATCAATTGAAGATGTCTGACTCGGAATCGATTGACGATTTTGTAGGAAAATTGTCTGGATTAGCCTCAAAATCGGCAGCCCTAGGAGAAGTAATTGATGAGACGAAGCTTGTGAAGAAGTTTCTCAAATCATTACCAAGAGCGAAGTTCATCTACATAGTTGCTTCTTTGGAACAAGTTTTGGATCTCAAATCGGTTGGATTTGAAGATGTTGTGGGAAGGCTTAAAGCTTATGAGGAAAGGATTAGGGAAGAGGGTGATGACAAAAGAGAAGAACCGAAGGTTCTGTGGTCATCGAGCAGTGGCGGCAGTGGTTTAGGTGGTGGCGATGGCTTGTCTGGTGGAGCGAAGGAAAGATCGACAAAGGGAAAAGGGGTGTCGACTGGTAATCATGGATCAAGAGGGTTTAATGGGTCTAACGGGTCAAGTGGGCCTAAATCATGTAATTAGGTATCACAAAGGTGTAAGCCCAATCACCACAAGTAAAATTCTGATTTAACTCAACCCAATTCCAATAATTGCAAAAATTGTAATTGTTGTTGTGACAAAAAATCGGAAAAATAGGGAAAAAGACCGATCTAAGGTGATTTGTTTTCGGTGTGACAAACCAAATCACTTTGCCTCTGAATGTCCGGAACGACTCCAAAAATTACAAGAAGGTGATTTTTCGGAATGTGACGACAATGACGAGCCCGTATTTTAAATATGGATCGGGGTTGAAGAATTCTCTAGAAGGACTTAGAGATTCGGGGTGATTGTTGGAATCCTAAGTCGATGAGGAATTAGAGACCAAGCAATCTAATTTATGGCAAGTCTAGTTTATGGCAAGTTGATTATAAGTTTCATAGTCTAATACAAGTTGGTATGTTAGGCTATATATACATGTCCATAATTAAGTTTATGATTATGAGAACAGATTGTAAAACATCGGTTTTGAGTTAGTTTCCGATTAATCAGAGAGTTATTTTGGTTATTTTGTTTTGCATTCTTGTTTTCTAAACCTTACAACCCAATTTTTAAACTTCCAATTCAAGTTCACAAAATACTTGATAGTTTAAGTAATTTCCAGACGTGGATGATGAATCCTTATGGGTTTTCTGCCTTTTGTCTATTTCCTTCTACCTTCTCATGATTTACTACACATAATATAGCTTATGGTTTCTCACCGATACGAGGGGGTTGCAAAGGTTCATCAGCAGTTTCATTGGGGTTCTCCAGAAACTATGGTAACAGACGACAATGGCGGCGGTAGATGATTTAAATATTAGCAATGACAAAATATGAAGAAGTGAAGAAGGAAGGAGGAAAAAGGAGTGTCGTGTTTCATTTGGAAACAAATTCAAGTGATTGTTTTCTCTCTCTCTAAATTAAAATGAAGGCATTATTGTCAATATCTCAAATTTTCTATGGATAAATAAAAAGCCTCATTTACAAAATCAACTCCGATAGTAAATACTTAATTTAATTCAATATCTTATATATATATATATATATATATATATATATATATATATATATATATATATATTATTACTATTTGTTTAATCGAACACTTATATTATAACATAAATTAATAGAACTATAATAATATGTTAATTATTAATTAATTTATATACATTTTCATATTAATTAAAATATGAAATTATTATATTTAAGTTAAAAATTAAATAAATATTTTTTAATCACAACTAATTAAAACATATGCACTGATGTATATGATAGTTGAAAAATATGATATAACACAAATAAAAAAATAAATTATAGTGTATTAATATTTGATACCTTACGTCTCGAGTTTTAACAATGAAAAAACAAAAAGAAAAAAAAAGAAAAATGAGAGGAAAATAAATTTATACTTTATAATTCAAGTTGAATAGAAATAAAAGAAAAATTAAATATTTTGTTAATTTCCCAGTAAATCCTTCCAAATTAGAAGGAAAAGTAATCATTCAATTTCTCTTCAATTCTTCCTTTAATGAAACTAAAAACTACCAACTTTTTTTCTTCTCACTTTCATTCATTTTTATTTTTAATTTTTTTCCGTTGGGAACATGATGTTTGATGTTAAGGTTACAAGGTTAAGATGATGAGAATGACCAGATCAATTTGAAAGTAGTTATGAAATGCTCAGTGGATGTTAAACCACATCGTTTTAGTTTCCACATACAACTGTTTTAGTTTCCGCATACAAGAGAAAACATGACTATTTTTTTGCCAAAGAAATAAACATATTACTTATTGTTGTCATTATAAAAGTTAAGTGATATAATAGTTAGATATATTTTGTTATTATTACATGAAAATTGAACCAAGTTATATATGAGTCTACTTTCCTTATTAAACGATATTAAAATATCTTGGATCATTGGCATCATATATATAACTTCTTTTTGCTTTATAACATAATATTTCTAATAATTTTATTAAATAAAGTGATATTAACTAAACCTTTTCAAATCATTAACTATTTTTAAAATTTTCTTCTGAAATTAACTAATTACTCTATTTT